CTGTTGGATAAACGTAAATGAGACCGTAATTAACTACAGACATAATTAACCAAATTACATAATATACTTTACGGTAAATAGGTTTTGTGTTCAATATTCATATTCTTTAGTAAGTATATCACAGCCTCCTCCTCGACCCTTAAACTAATCTCGCGTATACTAAACTTTTTGTTATAAATATGAAAAAACATAGAAATAAGAAAATAGAATTACAAATGACAACTTACATTTACATATCATTTCATGGCTTTTAAAAACAGGGACGTTTTGGGATTTTATGGATTTGACTTAGGATAGTGTGTTTTTTCCCTACATATTCAGTTTACTCTGGGACATAATATATTTTAGTATAATAGTCCCAGGTTTACTTAATTTTGAAAACAAATCCCGAATTCTAAGTAAATTCGGTGCAGGTAACCATGCTTTCTTTTGAGGAAAATGGAGATAGCAAAACACTGGCCACAATGAAAGGAAATGTACTTTACACATGTTTGTAACTCCGGCGATGTAGGTGATGAAAATATTTACATAGATTTACATAGAAAACCAAGTATTATGTCAACGAACTCGCTAATTGGTAATGAAAAACAATCAATTGAACATGTTTAAAGAAATTGTGTTCATTCATTAAATGTATTAATAAAAAGGTGAAAGGTGGGTCCCTCCATGTACATTTATTTTGTCATCCTTAAATTTCTTTATATTTGGTTTAACAGTTTATTGTACATGTATTATTTTGTACTTCATTTAAAATAAGCATACTAAATTTGTTAACCTTCAATTTCATGTTTCTCGATAAATTCATTCAATTCCAAGTTTTGGGAGAAATGTGAAACCCATCATGAATTATTTTTATTATGAGATCTTTATTACATGTAACTAAAACATTGTCGAGACAATAAGGTAGGATATAATTGTATCCCGTCAGTGTGAAAGAAATTTAAAAGTGGTTCATTTAATGTGGCACATGTATTTATCCTTATCAGTGGCGGATCCAGAACTTTTCATGAAGGCGGGGGGGGGGGGGGGGGGGGGGGGGGGTTGGCTCCAGTCATGCTTCAGTGATTCCCCATATAATCAACCAAATTTTTCCCACAAATTGGATCCGCCTATGCTAATATTTTTCATAATCCGGTACATGATAATTGGGTTGTTGCAAAGAGAACATTTATAAATACAAAAAATATATCACAAGGATAATATTTCTACCCCGTTATTTTAAAATCAGGCGATAACACAGCAGTACACAAACCTGTTTACGTTCGTAGTAAAACATAGTACATTCCATTGTCGGTCACCTGTGTCAATTCACGTGCACACTACGATTGTTGTTGTATTTGAATCTTTCGGCCAATGAAATGGGACATTACAAGTTGTTTGTTTGTGTTACACCAGAATGTTATCAATGAATTATCAAATGCTAAACTGCAGTGTAAAATTGAAAACATTATTTACAAATAATAAAAAAATGGAATACTCTCCTGTTCTTTTGAGCCTTCCGAATAGCATTAGTTATGTCCGTGTCTAGTGCATCTGCTCCTTCTAAAGACATTGTTATTTCAAGAATGAACAAGAATGTGTCCATAGTACACGAATGCCCCACCCGCACTATCATTTTCTATGTTCGTGTGCGGGATTTTCTCGCTGCCTTGAAGACCTTTTGGTGACCTTCGGCTTTTATCTGCTCTTTGGTCGGGTTGTTGTCTCTTTGACACATTCCCCATTTCCATTCTCAATTTTATTAGTGGACCGTGAAATTGGGGTCAAAACTCTAATTTGGCATAATAATTAGAAAGATCATATCATAGGGAACATATGTACTAAGTTTCAAGTTGATTGGACGTTAACTTCATCTAAAACTTCTTTGACCAAAAACTTTAACCTGAAGCGGGACAGACGAACGAACGGACGTACAGATGCATAGACCAGAAAACATAATGTCCGTTCTTACGAGAAAATTTCAGGGACTGAATTTTCGGCTCTCTCTTGACACCTTTTGCGAGTATGGCCCGTGTTATGAGAGAGCAATATCTCTTGCACGTAAAAGACACCCTTGTAGATTTCGAAAAAGAGCAGGCTAATGCCGCTACAAGGCAGCACTCGCAAAGTGGAAAGGGATTAATATAAGTTGCAATAACTTGTTTCCCAATCCTCTATAAATAAATATGTTTAAACTAACATAATGTCCATAAATGGGGCATACAAAGATCTAAATGAATTGCTGTCTAACTTCTACATTTTGACATTTCGAGATCGTTTTCGTGTGTATTTTGTATTTTTTATCTGTTCTAAAACAGTCCCAGGATTTTGAAGGCGGAAAGTTTACCCTTAGCAATAAATAAATAAAAACTTTAATCTACAACATTATTTATCAGAAAGAAATATATATATATATATATATATATATATTTTAAATATATTTGCCACTGGACTTGTAACCAGTTTTCACGCTTAACCACAAGTCCTATGGCTATGGCTTGTAAAATTGCTTTCGGGCTTGTAAAAGTCTTCTCTACAAGCCACAGAATCCAACTAAAATTTTAAAAAAATTGAGCTTCTGGCTCGTGGACTCCAAAGTTAAGCGTGAAGGCTGTGTAACGACAAACTTCCAATCAGTCCAAAGTGAGTAGAAATATGTCAGTTAGTAATTTGCTTTAGACATGTTAGAACGAAATCATACTTTTAATTTTAACATTTAAAAAGTTAGGGGAAGTTTGCATCTTTAAAACTTTGTGTGATATATATTTAATAAAATCGCGTCGAAGACAATAATCAGACAGTCCAATGACGTCCTATCTTTTTGAAATTAATGCATTAAAGTACATTAATTACATATGATGTTTGCAATCAATTTAAATTGCTTTGTCTTGTAAACTATTATTCAACAATCAATGAAAATAATTAAAAATGTAACCGCAACAGTTATCCAAGTGTTCAATTAACACACTTCTGTTTACCTGTTGACGTTTAAACTGGACACAAATTTGTTTATAATAGTAGGTGTGTGTTGTCTAATACATTTTGTATTTAGGACAACCAGTCATGCGTTCTCAAACATCTCGGGGTAATGATTGACAGGTATTGTAATCTATGTAACATATAAATCGGGGTACAATAAAGGATAGCATGTTTTCAATTAGTAAAAACAGTTCACTTTTTATAGGAAGACAAAATTAAAATATTTTCTGTTGAATCAACACAAGTAATGTAATTATCACAATATAAATTTGTTATAAATAAACAAGTGTTTAAATTTTTATTTAAAATTCTACACACAGACCTTGATAGACCTCGTTGCTTGTCTTAATTGCTCTCACTAAAGATAGCAAACTTCAGTATTGGAATTGATTTTAAAATCTTAAATTCCCAATAATAGACTGTCAATGCTGACTTCGCAGATCAACGGGAAATTATCTAGGTGACATGTCGCGATCATTTAATTGTATGTGTTCATAAGAAATATCAGTAAACTTAAATTAATGTCCATCACGGAATTGAGGGATACACGTTTTCCATTATAGCTGCAGAGTAGAAACCTGACAAATTCTTCAAGTCAAGCCCAACAATTTTTTTCACTAATGACATTATCCATATACTTCTGTGTTTCCGTGACCAATATGTATTTAGTTTTCCGGGACAAGGACCAAAAATAGACATAACTGATTTATTTTACTAAACATGGCAATTAAAGACGAATTTAATTTGATAAAAAAAAATCACATTCTGACCCAAACTATCGGTTAACGTTATGTATCTATCATAGCTATAAGTTCAATTTACGTTTTTTGTTTTACGTAAAACGACTTCCATTCATAGATATTTGCAGTTGAGTATTGCAAAGGTACCACGTGTATTCATCGTTTACATTGGTCGTATTAAAATAGATTTTTATTATTGACCAATGAAAAAAAATCGATAGTTATTTCATCAGAAAAGCAATGCTTAAAAGCGTTTCGTATTTGTATTTCGATCTTTCCCCTTAATTTGAAAAAACCTGCAACACTGATAAAAGAAAACGAAAAAAGATGTTATCATCTAAACCAGCGACATTTTATATTATATGTCTCTGTCTTAACCATAGATCTATACTATCTGTTTCTGTCTTCATTTACAGGTAACTATATTTTCAAAAACATCGGAAATAAGATGGTTAAGTTTAACAGATTCTGATTTGCATTGAATATATATATATATATATCTGTTCTACATTTTAACGATGTATTTATAACCGTCGCTCACGCTTCACTGGTTCTATTGACGACTCAATACACATCAGTTTTATCGGACAAACAGCTAATTCCCGTCGACACGATAAATCATGTGTATTAACTGAAACACTTTTAAAAATACTATAGCTTATGTTAAATAATACACACGTCGTTCGCGCGAGTTATTAAAGGGACATCGTTATCTAAGAGTATGAGAGGGATTACGGCAAACATCTAAAACGCCGGACGAAAGTCTAAAAATACAGCAAACGTCTAAAGTCAGAGGAGGACGTCTATTTCTGTGTCAAACATCTATAATTACGAATTATGGTTATTTATTAACCATAATCTGGCGTTCTTGCCATTAATCGGGCACTATAACCATATGGCTTTCCTAGTGTATGATCTCTAATTTTAATGCCAAATTTTTTACTACAATTTCACGGTCCACTGAACATAAAAAATGATAGTGTGAGTGGGGCATCCATGTACTAGGAACACATTCTTGTTTTGGCAATATTACCAATCATTTCTCTGGTTCAAGAACTAGCATTACAATCAATAAATGGAGATGTTGGATATTTGTCCATGTGACAACAACCCACTGATAATAATAACAAAGACATCTATCTTACAATGTTCAACAAAAGCCAGGTGTCTGTACAATATGTCAATCTCTAAATCATCTCCAGTTTAAAGATTAAAAATAGACTTTACAAATATCTGCCTTTAACATCTGATTTGGTCAAATAATAAAAAAACATTCTAATTAGATTTGTTTATTTATTTCAGTTCATCAAAGATTCTGAGATGGATAAAAACACTGCTGACAATTCATACTTCATATCTTATGACAGTAAGTAAAGAACTGGTATGATAGAAAAAATCAAGAGGATTTGGTCAAAAAAATTTGTAGGCGGGAAAGGAGAAATGAGTTCGGGTTTTGAAATTTAAAACACACAGAAATTATGTGTTTAAGCAGAATTTTATGATTTAGATTTGTTGATGGAATTTGAAAGAATAGATTTGATTTGATTTGATTTTTGGTGTTTTAATGCCACTTTTAAGCACCCCTTTTGGGCTATTTCGTGGCGGCCAGTTTTTATTGGTGGAGGAAGACGGAGTGCCCGGAGAAAACCACAGACCTTCGATAGGAAAACTGACAATCCTAGTCAATTAAGATTGGAGTCGAGTGCACCCGCAGGAGCGGGGTTCGAACTCACAACCTCAGTGTTGACTGGCTAGTGATTACAGTAGTAACTACTTAGACCACTCGGCCACCGAGGCCCCCTGAAAGAATAGAAGGTTCATCTTTAAATGCATTTGGGGGGGGGGGGGGGGGGGGGAATACAGAAAGTTTTCTTGAGCCTTTAGTTTTATTTAAGAATCATGTCTTCATTTCTTATTCAGATTTTTGTCGAGCCTGCGACTTTTGTCGCAGAAAGCTCGACATAGGGATAGTGATCCGGCGGCGGCGTTAGCTAACTTCTTAAAAGCTTTATAATTTAGAAGGTGGAAGACCTGGATGCTTCATACTTTGTATATGGATGCCTCATGTTACAAAGTTTCCGTCAGTCACATGTCCAATGTCCTTGACCTCATTTTCATGGTTCAGTGACTACTTGAAAAAAAAGTTAAGATTTTTTTGTAATGTTAAATTCTCTCTTATTATAAGTAATAGGATAACTATATTTGGTATGTGCGTACCTTGCAAGGTCCTCATGCCTGTCAGACAGTTTTCACTTGACCTCGACCTCATTTCATGGATCAGTGAACAAGGTTAAGTTTTGGTGGTCAAGTCCATATCTCAGATACTATAAGCAATAGGTCTCGTATATTCGGTGTATGGAAGGACTGTAAGGTGTACATGTCCAACTGGCAGGTGTCATCTGACCTTGACCTCATTTTCATGGTTCAGTGGTTATAGTTAAGTTTTTGTGTTTTGGTCTGTTTTTCTTATACTGTATTCAATAGGTCTACTATATTTGGTGTATGGAATGATTGTAAGGTGTACATGTCTAGCTGGCAGATGTCATCTGACCTTGACCTCATTTTCATGGTTCAGTGGTTATAGTTAAGTTTTTGTGTTTTGGTCTGTTTTTCTTATACTGTATGCAATAGGTCTACTATATTTGGTGTATGGAATGATTGTAAGGTGTACATGTCTAGCTGGCAGGTGTCATCTGACCTTGACCTCATTTTCATGGTTCAGTGGTCAAAGTTAAGTTTTTTAGTTTTGGTCTTTTTTTCTATTACTGTATGCAATAGGTCTACTATATTTGGTGTATGGAATGATTGTAAGGTGTACATGTCTAGCTGGCAGGTGTCATCTGACCTTGACCTCATTTTCATGGTTCAGTGGTCAAAGTTAAGTGTTTGAGTTTTTTTTTCTAATACTGTATGCAATAGGTCTACTATATTTGGTGTATGGAATGATTGTAAGGTGTACATGTCTAGCTGGCAGGTGTCATCTGACCTTGACCTCATTTTCATGGTTCAGTGGTCAAAGTTAAGTGTTTGAGTTTTGGTCTTTTTTTCTAATACTATATGCAATAGGTCAACTATATTTGTTGTATGGAAGAATTGTTAGCTGTACATGCCTGCCTAGCATGGTTCATCTGACCTTGACCTCATTTTCATGGTTCATTGGTCAATGTTTAGTTTAGTTGGTTAATGTTAAGTTTATGTGACAGTTGTAATAAAGCTTTATATTTAGGACTATCAACATAATATCAATGATTAGTAAAGAAGGCGAGACATTTCAGTGTGTGCACTCTTGTTATCTTTGAAATTTATATCAGCAATATATAGTTAAAAAAAATGAGCTCTGATGTAACAGGAGTAATGCCCTTGGACATGAAATTTATATTAAATTGTAGTGTAAGCTATCTTCCACATACATCTACACTTCTTATATAAATAAAATGGAAAATTATTTTACTTTTCCTTGGGGAGAAAATATTTGCTGTGGCAGAGGACATTGGGATGCTCTTCCTTTATTATTGTTGATTGGTAAATTTGTTCTTGTATATTCAAAATTCTTGTATGTTTAATATTTTAGTTTCCTGATATGGTTGAAAATTTAAGTACCTTATACCAGATGATGGATTCAAGAACAATGATGTTTAACAAGTTGTCTCGCTTACAGGGGAAATTAGACCTGGTTTTATCACAGGTAAATAAAGATAAGATAACACATATATATTTTAAAAGACCGTCACGTAAATATATTTTTGTAAGGTTTCTAAAGATACATTTGAATAATAAATAGATGTTTTCAGTCAACAGTGTGGTAGGGGTATTTTACAGTGAATATTGTTGTATTAGAAAGTAAATCTTTGATGAAAAAAAAAATTGCAGTTTTTCTTGATTTTGGAATTGTTACAAATTCAATATTTGGTAATGAACAAATAGCTAGGTTTCAAGTGCATGCTTTGTATTTCCAGTTAACTAAATGTTTGCAAGGTCCGAAATCATTTTTATTATATATATATATTTAAGGTTACAGCACAAGACCAACCCGAAGTAGAAACCGAGTCATTAGAACAGCCATTATTAATGTATCAAGAAGGTAGGCAAGGTTTTGTTTTATTTATTCTAGCTCCTTTTATATTTATTATAAGTATTTATACATCCAGGCTTTCAAAATTATGGGTTTGAGCTCTCCTGATCAAATCACTTTGGAAACACTAAATTTGTATGGTGATATTTTGATTCTCAAAATTGTTGGATGGATTTTCGAAGATTACACACCGTATGTTCATGAAGCAAAATAGTTTTTGTCAGAGAAGTGGAGATATTTTTATTTGCATTTTAAAGGTATATTGGAAGTGAGGCTCTCAGTTTGTAATCTTTTTCTATTTTCTTGACTTTGTTTTGACAATGTAAATGTAATTGTTATATGTGAAATAATGTGTTGTAACATTTCTATACCTGCATTAACAGTAGAATTATCTCCCTTGTATTACAGAATCTTCAGATGAGGATTTTGGATTGGATGATTTTGCTCCAACACAGTCAGATACAGAGGTAAGATTTGTGTACAATGGTTATATTCAAAACATATAATTGTAAAGTTCTATATTCCTCTTTATCAGATCAGATAAAAAAAAATGTTCACTTTGAATAAACAATATTAGACCAGAGCATGGCCTTTAGATGTGGTGTAGATAATTACATTCTCGTTAAATTGGTAGATAGTTGTTTCAGTGGCTATTATATTAAATCTTCTTATTTCTAAATGTCATTCAAGAAATATTCTGTTTTCAAATGCCATAGAATAAAGTATTGATATTTTGTGGAGTGCTAGTTTTTACATTTATTTGACAACAGAAAGATGTTGCCATGAAGGAACAGTTAATTATACCTTAAAACTGTAAAATGAAACAGAACACTTATAAAAACAACATGAACAAACAAATTACAAATAAGAAAATTGTTATATAAATGATATATTGAGAAACCTTTTTTATTTGATACTTTAAGGATAATATAGATTTATTTGATGACAATGAAGAAGAGATGGATAAGACACCAGACCAACAGAATGGGGATGAGGAAGAGAAAGATTCTGATGATGATGATGACGACGAAATGGAAGATTCTCCCAAGGAAAATGGTGATGAAGAAATGGAGTCTGAATAATTAATGAGAAACAATAATGAAATGGTGCAATACAAATGGCTTCCCAAGCTGACTGACTCTGCTCCAAGGAACTGGAATAGATTCTGGGTTCTATTAACAGGAAGTGTATTCAAGGGCAGATAACTTATCTAAATTCTAAATATAGAATGTTTCTGCCAGAACTGTTCTTTGTAAGGTCAGAATGACTTCATTAAAAAGAGACTGTTATCATTACTTAAAGAACATTCTTTTCCTGGAATGATACAAAATTGTGACCTCAGGGGTTACCTTGTTTAATGAAATTTTAATTTAAAGGTGAAGAAGGATTTTATTATATTTTAAGAAGTCAAACAGTTTTGTGGGTGGTGAGTTGATTTAAAGTTTTAACCTCCAAAGGCATTTTCCAGTGATGATTAAGTGTTTGTCAAGAGTTACTTCCCTTTACAAATGAAATTGTCTTATGTCCATGGATAATAAGTATGCTTGTTAAGAGGTTGTAAATTGATGGAAAAAAAATAATAATAAAATTGATTTACATAATTTCTACAGCCTGATACTGGTAATTGCTTCCAATTACAAAAATGAATTTCCAGAACTCTAACCTGGAAGCTTCTTTGCAAACATCACATCATGCATAACAAGTTTATTGAATTTTGGCAAGACTTTGGTTTCCACATATTATCTTTTTAACCATATTTCCAACTTTGACTAAACTTTATTTGGTCGTGTACATTTAGGATGAAGAAGACCCCTATTGATTGTTGTTACTAGGTCAAATGTCAAGGTCAAAGCAACTGTTAAAAGACTGAAATCTGGGTAAAATTTTGGTTTCTGGAAAAATGAATATGCAGGTTTGTTCCAACATGAAGAGAATAGGAAACACTTAAGTTTTGATGTTTATATTGCCGCTTGATAAGTGTTGAAACACAAATAATAGTATTTATTGCTATTTTACGAAATTTTCCTTTGATCTTACCGACTGATAATTTCCTTTCTCAGCACAGTAGAGTGATATGAAAAATTATCGCTAGAAACTAAGGGCGCACATGGCGTTGTCAATGAAATTAACAATGTCGTCATTGGTAAAATAGCGATAAACAGATTATCATAGGTCATCTCAACTCGGTTGCTTTTCTCACTTTCGCCGTACCGGCTCAAGCGAGAAAATCAATCTCGTTGAGATGGCCAACGATAATCTATAATTATCATAATTATTAAATGGTGAAAATACTGTTAAAACCTGAGAGGGGTTTTATATGCATTAGTCTGTCTCTGATGGTTATCAGTTAGAAACTGGCATTAGATATGATAGTGGAAAAGATGTTTTATTTGTTAATCTATTCATTTCATGATAATTAGGAAAGGGTTATTTGTTTTATTAAAGAAAATTGTGTAAGCTTTGTAAATTGGCACTTGTTTTCTATTGTTCATAAGGTGCTAGATGATAGAGATAATTCTTATGTTATTGGTGCATAATATATACCTGAATTGTTGAAAAAAAGTATATGACTACAAATACATGTGGTCACACTTATACAGGTCTATAAAAAGAATTTTGTGGGTGTCTTATCCGTCAAATTCATATACTTAGTATTCAGACAGGTAGAGTATGAATAATGTTGTCTCCCACCAGTTCATACTGGACTGTTGGATCAGTTAATTATGGAATAATTTGCGAAAGAATTCAAATATGGAAAAATTTTCAAAAAGTGACGGCAAAGCACATGAGAGAATTTTAGTGTTGTTCAGTCAGGAGTTGAATATTATTGATATTTTAATTTGGACTAGTTATTCTTTTTTTGTTACATTGTCTTTTTCTATATGCATTCTGGGTTCAGTTTGATAGCATTAACCATGTCCTGATGTCACCTATTACTGTATGACATCGGAGGAGTGAAGTTATCAGTTTTCTTACCGGAACCAATGTTATAAATCAGTAAATGTAAATATTAGTAGACACAAAGGGCATTTTGTTATTTAGTCATCAGAGTTTTTGGGAAAAAATTGTACCTGTCAGGTTATAAATCACATCTGGTTCTGCCATGAGACACATGCTTCACTGGACTTGATAGGAGGGTTTGTCTCTCATGCTGTGTGCATGCAGTAGATTTGCCCTAGAACTTGTAGTGTAAGCCTTTACATTCTACATTTATTGGTTGTTGGACAGATCTGTCCTTTGAAATTCATTAAATTTGTTCTTTGGTCTTTTGGTTGATAGTTGTCTCATATACCACCAGTGTTCTCCCCAGGAATTTTGGATAGCATCACATTTGGCATAAAAAAAAATTGTATTTATTTTTTCAATGTCATTTGTTGCGTCGCGGCGATGCTCTCTTTCTTTTAAGTTATGTTGATTTTTTTCAATTCATAACTGAGAATACAATTAAAGTATAACTGTTCTTTTAGTTTATTTCTTTAATATTCATTTATAGTTACAGAATTATATTTTTCTTGTTAGAAACTACCAACTAAAAATCTAGTACAAAAGAGAACTTCTTTTATATCAAAAAGGAAAAGAAAGTATCATATAGTAATACCATTTCAATTAAAAACTATTCTGTTTATCATGTTTATGAAACTCATTATTTCCTGGGACTCAATGTATCAGTACCAGTTGTTTCAAACAGATATATGTTTTTAACATTGTTAAACTACTTTAATCAGTAAATTAATTGAAACAATGCGTTTACATAGAAATAAATACATTTTGCAAGGAGATCTAACAAATAGTCTGAAAATTCATGTGGAATGAGTAGCTTTCCCTATTGGGATCATTATTATTCTGTCAGCTGTGCCGTTTCTGCGTCTGTAGTTATTACCGTAAAAATGCGGATTTTGATCATAGCTGGTCCGCTTCCGATCCGTAATTAGTACAAATATATCAATGGCGGTCGAAGAAAAATTTACGAAAATAAACAATGTTTGAGAAGCGAATTGGATGAATATATCACGATTTTACTGTAATAAATAGATGAAACATTACCTAAAGGCAATTTTCATTCACGTTCTAATGAAGTATAGAACTTATTTTGCCCAGAATCGAAATGTTTTATGTACGCTCTCGAGTACCGGAATGGGAAGAAAACACTTCTTTACAGGTTGTTAGTTTGAAATAACAAACGACCAGCCTGTTAATTATAGTTCGCTCGTTTTTTTTTCTTCTCTTAGAAGACGGATTTGCCTTGATTCAAACGTAGATTTCGAATTGTTTATGATTTTCTGGATGTCAAAATTTTGCAATTGGGCCACGTGTTATCAGTCATGTCATAAGTGCCAGCTTGGGGTATTCGTATCCAAACAGTTATCACCCAAAGGGCAATTAACACCTATTTAATCAATCTTAATTGCCTCTTATGTCCGATTTGAAGGGATTACAATTAAAGGTGATATAATTTTTATGATCACAAGCGGCAATTCGATGAAAGTTCGGAATTTAGGACATCGATATTGCGGCAATGTATAGAGCAGACAAGAAAAAAATAGCGTCCTCGAAATAATTATAGTGTAACGGTAAAAAATTATAGCATCGCGGGGCCGCGACGCTAAAACGGCCTGGGGAGATCACTGACCACATCTTATATTGTAAAACAATTCTTGGTGACCAGCTGAGTTATATTTACTCAAACCTGGCAAGAGGACAGAAACATTACATACTATTGTGTGGTTTGTCATTTTTTTAAAGCAAATTGTAAATCTTTAATGATACTCTGAATGAATTGAAATAAATCACTGGTAAATAGAATTATTTCATTTTAATTTATTTATTTTAACAACATAATTTCACCAACAGGTGGGCCATCTTGTGTTCATTTACACCTACATGTGCATTTGTAACATGTGTTTCTTGACAGAAAAAAGAAATGAGGCATTTAAACCCCTAAAAGAGAGGAGGGAACTTTTACAGGCTGTTTTGGATTGTTTTACATCTGTCCAAGAGAATCACATATATGTAGATTTTTGTATGATACATAATTGATAGTCTAACTGCCACTATGTAAATTATTTTATCTTTATCACAGCCAAAATAATATAAGCATTAACCACTTTTCTTCCAAGAGGTAAATTCTATTTTAATTTTGTGATGACTTTTTTTGTTTAAACTATCCAAACCATAATTGCTGAGGTAGAAAACTGGTAAATTGATGGTTAAGTTACCAGATCATTATTAATTTCAATACATAACGAATACTTAAATAGCTCTAAGTAAAATTCTAATTGAACTAACCAGTCAAAGTTTATTAAATATTGTGTAAATTTGAGTGTATAGTTATACATTTATAGACTGCAAATAAAAGTCAATCATGGCCACTGATCTATAAATGCCATACATAAAAATTGTCATGTCCTTGATCATGTTATAAATAGTCAGACATTTTTTTATGAATGAATTAGTATGTAATAAAAGTTTTATTGTTATTGTTGATGTGTACATTTTGTTAATGATGATGTAAAAACAATATATAAATCATGCTAAAATATTAAGTCAAAAAGTCAATAAAAATATTCAGATAAATATTTGTTGTTATTTTAATGGAAGGCTGGAAGCAAAACAAAAGAAGTTTTAGAAACGGAACAGATGAGGAGGCACTTAAAACCATAAATAGTAAAATATACAACATTAATTTAAGGGCAAAAACAAACAAACAAAAAAAGAAAAACAATAGTCCACAAAACAATGCAGGGAAACTAAAGATTAAATGACTTGAAAATAACAAAACCGAGATGAACTCTTGGGCTGTTCCTGCTCTATAAAATCACCCATTGCATTGTTCCTGACCTGCAAAAATATTGTAAAGGTGTGAGTGAGTGAGTTGTGTAGATTCTGTTTACCTAAATGAAAGATACCCATGGTATTTGTGACAATTTTTACTAGTTTCATGTTTTTGCCTTATTTTTTTGAAAACTCTAGTTGATAAGACAGTAACTGTAAACAGCAAAAATGATCAGCAATGCAAGATATATAAAATTATGCACATGATTGAAACCATCAGACAACTCTTTATAGGAGTTATTACCCTTAAATGACAATATTTGACTTATTTTTGTGTTTTTATACGACCGCAAAAAAATTTTGAGGTCGTATATTGGTATGACGTTGGCGTCGTCGTCCGGCGTCGTCGTCCGAATACACAATGGTTTTCGCACTCTAACTTTAGTTTAAGTGAATGGATCTCTATGAAATTTTACCATAAGGTTCAATACCACAATAGGAAGGTGGGGATTGATTTTGGGGGTTATGGTACCAACAGTTAAGGAATTAGGGGCCAAAAATAAGCATTTTTGTAACTTCCAGACATAACTTGTGTGTTAGCATATGGATCTCTTTGACATTGTACCACAAGATTCCATATCACAAAGGGTCAATGCTGGGATTGATTTTGGGGTTAATTGCCTCAAAATTTTAGGAATAAGGGGCCAAAAGGGGGCAAAAAACAAGCATTTTTCTAGTTTCATGACAATAACTTGTGTGTAAGTGTATGGATCTTTCTGAAATTTTACTACAAGGTTCCATTTCACAAAGGGAAAGCTGGAATTGAGTGTTGTGGTAATTGCCCAAAACGTTTAGTAATAAGGGGCCTAAAAAGGGGTTTAAAATAAGCATTTTTTAGTTTCTAGACAATAACTTGTGTTCAAGTGTATGGATCTCTCAAAAATTGTATTACAAGGTACCATACCACAAAGGCAAGGCTGTTATTGAGCTTGGTTTGGGGGGAAAGGGGGGTGGGGGTGATGAATCATAAGGGGGGGGCGGGGGTAAAAAAAGGGGTAATTTTTTTTTTTCATTTTTTTTTTTTTTAAATTTACATTTTAAGTTAGTTATTTTTTATCACGAAGAGAAAGTAGGAATTGAGTTTTGGGGTTAATTGCTCAAACATTTATGAATAAGGGGCCAAATATTGGTCAAAAATAAGGATTTTTTTAGTTTGCAACAAAAACTTGTGTTCAAGTGTATGGATCTCTGTGAAATTGTATTGCAATGTACCATACCACAAATTGAAGGTTGTGATTGAGGTGGGGGATGATGAATCAAAAGGGGGTTGAAAAAATGTGTGGGAGGTAGGATTTTTTTTTTTCCTTTTTTTTTCTTTAAAATTTTCCATTTAAAGATGGTTGTTTCAGATTTATATATGAAAGAAAATAATAATGATACGGTTATATATCATGAGGAATTGAAATTTAAAATTATGTATATTGGAAATTTAGGTTACATTGGAAAGTAATAATTGGCTTTGGGGGGGTGGGGTGGTTATGGCTCTAATGTTTAAGGAATAAGGGGAAAAAAGGTTAAAAAACAAGGGTTTCCATTTTAATAGACAAATAATTGAGTAAAGAACATTATTTAAAAGCAGTGTAAGGTTGGTAATTCAAACTCATTTAAATATCTCATCTACACTGCTTTTAAATTATGTAAATTGGAAATTTGCCAATAACTTTATTGTTAATAAATGCATTGGAAATTTGCCAACAATTTTAGTGTAATAAACTTCATTAGAAATTTGCCAATATAAAATTTTGCTGATGAAGGTTTTTTGTTTACCTTTAGCCTTGACTATGAAGTCATTTTCTATTTTTATAGCCTTATGATGTAGTTGAATTATTTAATACTTTTATGATGTGTTTAAATGGGGTTTTATCATGTTTATGGTTGCAAATTTATTGTTTTAGTATAATAAACTCCATTTAAAATTTGCCAATAAAAAAAATTTTTGTTTATTTTTAGCTATGATTATGATGTCATTTTCTATTTTACTTTTATGGTTGCAAAGAAATTTTTATTTTTAGATATTACTGTTAAATGATGCTGATTAAGGTTTTTGCTATGTTAAGCCATGACTATGATGTCATTTTCTATTTTAATATCTGTTATGATGTATTTAAATGGGCTTTTATGGTTACAAAGGAATTTTATTTTTAGATATTACTATAAAATGTTGCTGATGCTGATTAAGGATTTTGTTTATTTTTAGCCATGACTATGATGTCATTTTCTATTTTAATACCTTTATGATGTAATTTCCATTTTTAGATATTACTGTTAAATGATGCTGATTAAGGGTTTTTTGCTATGTTTAGCCATGACTATGATGTCATTTTCTATTTTAATATCTTTATGATGTATTTAAATGGGCTTTTATGGTTACAAAGGAATTTTATTTTTAGATATTACTTTAAATGTTGCTGATTAAGGATTTTTGTTTATTTTTAGCCATGACTATGATGTCACTTTCTATTTTAATACCTTTATGATGTATTTAAATGGGCTCCCATGTATTTAGATTTTTGATTATTTATACATGTTACCAAATTGGTCCACATTGAACAAAAACGGTCCAAATTTCAACTTTATTACATTACATCAAACATTGAATTCTACATATTCTTTGATATATTGAAATTAACAAACAATTTAGTTTATGGATATTCCACCATAATAGGTAAATTAAATTTTTTCCAGTTCTTACACCACATTCATCCTGTGTCAGAAACCTATGCTGTGTCAAATATTTAATGACAATCCAAAGTCATAGCTGTATCAAGCTTGAATTTTGTGTCCATACTTGCCCCAACTGTTCAGGGTTCGACCTCTGCGGTCGTATCAAGCTGCGCCCCAGCGAAGCATTTTATTGTAGATTATGATTATCTCTAAAATTAATAATAGAAAGGCAGATAAAGCAACAGCAAAAAATTATCAATAATAAAAAGATTATAAAAAAATGCTAATCTGATTTAAACCTTTTGCCAACTTATCCAGGATAGAAACTAAAAGAGAGGCTAAGGATACCAAAGGGACATTCAAACTCATAAGTCGAGAATAAACTGACAACGCCATGGCTGTAAAAGAAAAAGACAAGACAAACAACAGTACACAAAATACAACATAGAAAACCAAAGACTGAGCAACACGAACCCCACCGAAACTGGTAGGTCCCATTCGGGGGAAAGGGGACAAGATTATAGTTACTACAATTGGAACATCTGTCGTCATCTGTGAAACATATACCATAATGGTCAACCAACTAATGATGGCGTCCATAAAATTTACGAAGGGATGATTCAACTTCACCACTTAGAACTCTTGATTTAATTACTTCCTTGTGAGCAGCAACCCTCTATCAAGGAAATACGTGCCCAGGAGTATCGTATCAATTGGGAAATATTCATCCGTATGCAGGCCCTGCTGGAATGTTGCTACATAGAAATGGAAAGTTCACAATTCGGAAGCTGCAATCATTTCTTTTGTCATAAAGTTTTGTTTACAACTGACACTCATTGTCAGTTTCTAAATGTAAGTCAAGATATGAGGAAGACTTAACTGTTTCTGTTGTATCCTTTATTTCAAGTTCGATGGGATAGATGCGTTCAACATAGGCGCAAAATTTTGAATTATTTAATGAACGAACATCTATATAGCGGAAAGTGAAGTTAAAGGATACTGCTTACTTCTTTTTATTCTTCCTAAGAAGTTCCTGTATGGGAAGTCAGCCTGATGAATAAAGGAACAAGTTGGCAAGAAAAGGAGCACAGTTGGTTCCCATGGGAATGTCGATTGTTGAAAAAACACCTCCTCCAAATGTAACAAATATGTTGTCAATCAAGAAATAAAGCATCTTGATATTTGAATCGGAGCGATTATTTAAGTACAATTTATCAGCAATACTACAAAAATATAAAATGATAGAAACCATCAATTGACTCCATTTTAGAGTTTTTGTCCCTCTAATGATGTTATTTATGATTTTTTTGTCACCTGACATGAACAGTTTTTGCCAGATTTATATAAAACTTAGATCATAGGTTTATATCTGCAATGTAACGGACAAGTTTGAAAATCAGTACCAATCAATTATTTTTAAAACAGTTATGCCCCTTAGAAATATTAATCATATGGAAAACTGCATTGTTAGCGCTCTCGTGTGTACAATTCTTGCCAGATTTTTATGAAACTTATATCATAGGTTTATATCAGATATGTATTAAACAATTTTGCAAATCAGTGCTGATCAAATATTTTTAAAAGAGTTATGCCCTTGGAAATATTAATAATATCGAAAATTGCAATTGCATTTGCTCCTAAGCTTTCATTTCTCTTAAGATATTTATAAAAAGTTTTAAAGAACTAAAAAAAAAAATGTTTTTTTTTTAAATTTTGCCCGTAGATAGATAAAATATGGGGGACATTGGAACTCTGTTCTTTAATTTTTTTTTGAAAACTACTGGATATGTAGAGAGAAATTTAAAAGAATATATTTGATAAAAAGCAAATTGAGATCTAAAAATAGTTTCTGGTAGTCTTTGTTATTGTAATAATTTTATTACGGATTGGTGAGGAGGGTTTCGCCAAAAAATGATCCCGATTTTATTCGTAAACCAACTTCTGTGATCATGGTATTGAAGAAAAAATGATTTATTTCCTTTATTTAAACTTGAATGGCTGAAAATTAGTGATTTGTTTCTGAACATGTGAAATACATTTTTTGCAAAAAATTCCATATTTTTACCAGATGAGCAATT